GCAAGATCTTCCACGTGGACACACAGTAGCCATCCGACACTGCGAGTGTGACGGATCTCATGTTCTTCACCGGCATTAGCCAGAGTTCGCTATAGTAGGAAGAGTGAAAACCAGCCAGGGGAGGTCAAACAGTGACTTGGTAGCGAAGTACGAAATCCAACAACAGCAAACCCAACTGCGCTGGGCATTGCCTCTTTCCTGGACGGGACCAGCCAGGGTCAAACAGTGACTTGGTAGCGAAGTACGAAATCCAACAACAGCAAACCCAACTGCGCTGGGCATTGCCTCTTTCCTGGACGGGGACCACGAGACGGGATACATCACTGGCTACAGATATTGTCGAACATGGTGCAGAGGCGCCCTCATTCATACAAGCTGTTGTCTTCAATGCATAACTCCCCTCCCCTCAATAAAAGGTCTACTGACAGATGTGTACTTACGCATCAACTACATCAGCCATCGCCTTCAATGTGTAGCTATCTAGCCACCTCTCAAAACATCTGTGAATGAAACTGTACGACAGGTACGCGGTTTTTAGAGCTGACGATGATGATTGGGGACACAGTGAATACCTGACGGATGGTGATGGTTAGAAATCGACGTGGCTCTCAACTCACACGCTTCTGGTCGAACTTCCACTATCGTTCGCTAGTGATCCCTTTCAAAGATTTCTTCGTATTGAAGCAAACAAGCAATCATCCGTTTTCAATTTGATATCGATGAGATCTAAGAGTGGGAATTTTATTCGTTTGGATCATTCTAGACATGATACACTGATGATTCCAGTGGTCCGATAATCGATTTTTTCCAACGACGAAGTGATGCAACCATGTGACAGAACGAGGACAAATTCATCATACTTTAAGCGTCCATTGGAGTGTTGTTTACTGTAAGACATACTAGGCCATTCCACTGTTTACAATGCCAACTCATGTGAACGCGCCGATAAATGAAAGTCTGGAGAACGTATACATGAAGAGTGGATGAAACTGGCTACGCCATGCGTGAGAAAGTCATCTTATAAGAGGGCCGAATGAGATAAATTAATCCGTCTCAAAAGTGGTGCTCGTGGGTCTCAGTTAGGACATTCTGGTGCGCGCGTGCTTCGACGCGCGCAGACTAACACGCCTATGCGATTCCCAAAATGGGTCATGTGTAGCTTGGAGAGCGACAAAACGGGGGGAGGGCGAAAGCAAGAACTGCTAGAAAGATTCTTTCAGAGTGGATAAGAAGACCAGCTTACCTTGTAGGGGGGACCTGTGTCCTTCTCAGGCGGGTCGTACACAGCTCGAAAAATGATCACTAAACTACAGGGCTTCTCTAATAACTCTTACGGATTCGAAGACTGATGCCGAGAACAAGCACATGGAAAACCAGTTAAAAATTGAAACAAATGAGTTTGAAAACGGGTGCGAAATAATTATAAGGACATCACCTTACGGTCGTCCGGACCAAAAGGCGCTCCGGTCGTGAGTAACTGTTGTCAGAACACACAAAATTAGAGCGGCTCCCTAAGAAGTCGACCACAAACGGTCATCAACAGTATCCGCGAAGGTCTGTTGGGTTATTTTCATAAAGGAAACCACTCACAAGGTTGCTGAAAACTTTCGACAGCCCACAACCGGTTTCGTCCTTCTTGGGGCTCATCAGTTAGGCGCAAATCAATTTGGTTTTCACGAGAGGCCCAACTAAATCTCTCGTTTATGATATTCTACAACCGAAAATGCTGCACACAGGCCGCCTCATGTTTCAGTTGGCACGATATTCGAGATATCGCAGTGTATTTTCACAAAGAAAACTACTCACAATGTTGCTGAAAACTCTTCGACAGCCCATGACCGGTTTCGCCCTTCTTGGGGCTCATCAGGTAGGTGCAGACCCCGAGTTTCCGTCAACCTTATTTTCTACTTGAACCCAAATTGCACTGTTTTCGAGAATTACACTCATTTGCAAATCAATTGGGTTTTCAGGAGATACTCAACTGAATCTCTCATTTATGATGTTCTTGGGTCATTTCACTGCAGGCATACCAGGAGAAGTGGAACACATTCAAAGAATATAACAAGGGAATTCTTAACTCACCTACTGTGAATTAAGTTTGGCCGCCCCTCAAATCGGAGAACGGTAAACATAACCGTTTCTACGGAAAAAGGTGGGTGAACTATGGCAAAGTTCATATTCACACCTCTCTCATTTGAACATTGTCCACCTGTTCTGGAGTAATTATTCTGATGAGTCCACCGACAAAGGGGGAAAGCACTGGGTTCAGGTTTCGCTCTTATTAGAGTTCATCAACAGTGCATACACTTGGTCATGCAGGGATATGAACTCCGGACATCTGACATGCGACGCGACCGTGTTAAAACGAAGCCAGCAATGCATGCTGGACGGGCCTGGATTTTCACGTCCGAACAGGCGAACGTGTTCACGCTTGAGCGACGCGATTGGTGTGCCCAACTCACCAGTAACTAGCTGTGGCGATCGACTGACGCGCCGGTCAGGACTTCCCAGTCAGGTAGCGTCACAGACGCTTGAAAGCCGCTGGGTAACTTTTTGGTTTCTGTTTATCTTAATTAATTAAACATTTAATTAATTGATTAGTATGTTGATTACACTAACGTCTGCGACAGAATCTCATACAGAGTTTCGAACAGGGTGAGTAGAACTCTATGTGCCTTGAAAAGCTGAAGAAACACTGTCCTCTGCATGTACTACTGACACGTTCTGTACAGGAATCAACAGTACATTTCCACGCAGATCATTGGTAGAGCCCAGATTTCGAAACATCCTTGAACATCATTTTCTACTGCTTTTCAGGTGGAAGCACCGATGAGAACCGGTGATAATCAATACCTCAAACCTGGGGATACGGTTGAATTCCTCGTGGGCTTATCGACCAAAACTCTCTTGAGTATCGCAGTTGTTCCGCTGAACCGGAAAATGGACATTGAAAGTACTCCCATGAGACCAAAAAATCCTCAAACGAAGTAGACTTGGAATAATTTTCGCCTAATAACTCCGTGTTCTTCTCTCCGACTGGCGAACTCATCGTTAAACGAGTTCATGACTCCAAGGCGTCCGTACAACGCTGTAATTCGGCAACAGATTCCCAAAGTGGATAACCGGGTGAACGTTAATCACGGCTCCAACCCACGCGCCCACCTGAAACCGGTGTTGTCAGGTTGTCACACTGAATCTCGTTTCTGTGATCGATTAACAGCTGAACGAACCTATTTGGTAGAGTGAAATGAACCCGACCGGAATCCCTCGTTCACCGCATTCTTCAGCTGTTGCACGAAGGGCACTGCGGTAGACTGTCTGCTGAAAACTCTTCGACAGCCCACTGCCATGTTCGCTTTTGTTGGGGGTCAGGGTCAAAGGTTAACCAGTTTGCCCCAGAAGGCCTGAAACAGACAGTCCGATACCGCAGATAGGCTGACAAGTGGAAACACCTGAACGTGAGGACTGGTGGACTAAACTTGCGCACACAGAAGCCCTGTCTTTTGGCAGGTACTAAACCTAAACCGAGCATACATTCAATGAGCAGCCGCCGTAGGTGATGACTTGAAAAATGAGGGATGGAGGAACTCACAATGGATGACCTTAATAGCGTGTGCAGCGAACGAGATCTTTCGGACAGTTGCCATGGCAATTTAAACGATACTGCTATGTTACGGTCCACCCGGCTGTTTAGGGCTCAGTAACAGCCACCAGGGGACGTGCGCGCGCGAACAATGCCCAACAAAGGGAAATAAGTTTGATGCTATGGTTACTCAACAGGCACCAACAGCCGGGCGATATGAAACTAGGGGGCTCTCCGACTAGGTTAGTCCCAAAGGAAAATCAAGGTATCTCAAAGCATAAAGCCGTCAATTCTGCATCAAAAAAAAGTAAATATTCCGATTAGCTTGCCTTTAGTCCAGATACGAACCCGACGGAGAAAAGAAACACATATGTCTTGTGTCTAGAAAACGACGGCAGTTTTAGCAACAAACAAGCGTTCAGAAAGCCCATCTCCTAGGGTAGAAGCTCGGACCGCTCAATTCAAACTCCTTGTGATGCATCTCAGTACAAACAACGTTTTTTTCAAGAGAAAGAGACATTAAAAGCTAAATATATTCAAGAATTCGTAGTTTCTTGTGTGCCAGAAAAAGCTATTGTTTATCCCGCAAATTGAATAACGTTTCAAAAAGGCTAAGCGTTCCACACAATATATAAAGCTTCGAGGCAGTACCGTGATGAGCAGTGATGACAACTGAACATTGCTCAATCAAGTAAACCATAAAACACTCACCTGAATGTTGTTCATTCAACATTCTACTCGAAATATTGAGATGAAAATTTATCCACTCGAAAAACAGACACGGAATGCGCGAAAACTGCTAAGCAATAGAACTGCACAACTGCTCACCAGCGACGAGAGACGTAGACTGTGCAATGATTGGAAAACAAACCAAAAAACATCGCCCTAACGGAGCTCAAGGTGACTCAGTCAGTCGGTGATTGGCGCCCGAGGGGTAGAGAACACAACAGGTGAGACGAACCTACAATCAGGACAGGTTGCCGTCTGCGTTTGGAGTCCGAAATCTCGGTGGGGCGATTAGATTACAGACAGAAAAATAAATAGGTCGTTTTCAGTAGTCTTTAAGTAGTACGGTGAATACAAATGAAGCTTGAAATATGGTTCGCAATGACTACAAACAGTGCGCGTAAATTAGACGATCAACAGTTGCTGTTAGATGGAAAAAATTGCACAGCTCGGGTGTTACGCAGCTTTGGGGCATATTTCAATCAAGTACACGCAACCAATCAATCGATACGAAAAGTTTACAAGCCCCAAGATGATCCAACTAACCAGCTAACAGAATTTTCCTGGCTGCATGAACCTTGCATGAGCCAAATCATCGAACACCATAAAACGGTTGGTGATCAGGTCTCAACTCCATGAGATGCCTTTGTTTCTGGCGGTGCTCCGCAGGCTAAAACGTTCGGATAGACAATGTCCCCTAGAGGCAAATCAATTCGGTCCCGAAGAAGTCGACCACAAACGGTCATCAACAGTATCCACGAAGGTCTCTTGGGTTATTTTCATAAAGGAAACCACTCACAAGGTTGCTGAAAACTTTTCGACCACCCACAACCGGTTTCGTCCTTCTTGGGGCTCATCAGTTAGGCGCAAATCAATTTGGTTTTCACGAGAGACTCAACTGAATCACTCGTTTATGGTGTTCTACAACTGAGTGTGTTGCACACAGGCCGCCTCATGTTTCACTTGGTACGATGTTCGAGATATCGCAGTATATTTTCACAAAGGAAACTACTCACAATGTTGCTGAAAACTCTTCGACAGCCCACGACCGGTTTCGCCCTTCTTGGGGCTCATCGGATAGGCGCAGTTCCAGAGTTTCCACCAACCTCATGTTCGTGGGCTGTCGAAGAGTTTACAGCAACCTTGTGAGTAGTTTCATTTAATGCCATGAAAACTAACTGTGTAGCGCTACGCAGTAGGTGCTACGATGGTGCATACGACATCTCACCGGATAACCGTTGCCTAAGCTGAGATACTCCCACGTAACGATTCACTGGGCGCAATTCATCTTGCAACGGGACTTGCCAAAGACTTTCTTGTCCTCGCCCGTTTTTCCTGACGCAGAGTAATGGCCAGGCACTTCTTGACATCCGTATGATTCCCTTTTTTTACATGGAGACACTGTTTACCTTATGTCGAACGAAAGAGTGGGAGTGACTTACTCACCTGTAGCGGTAAGGATGTCCGCACATAAATCGGTCCAGTCACACCACCTGGCTGGACACTGTTTTATGTCGAACGAAAGAGTGGGAGTGACTTACTCACCTGTAGCGGTAAGGATGTCCGCACATAAATCGGTCCAGTCACACCACCTGGCTGAAAAGTTCGAAGAGCTTTTGGATCGGGAATGGCCGATGGGGGTGGTGGGAGAATGAAGCTGTCAGGTGCGAACGACTCGACAGGTGGAGGGGGCGGAAATTCTACGGTCGAATAAGAAAGTCGATCGGAGAATGTTAGCACAGTGCGAACGTAATATTACAACAACGTTAAACGATGCATATTAGATAAGGCAGTTTACAAAAACCACCTTCTGAGGGTTTCAAGCAATTTGAGTCTTCAACCAGGCTGGAAAGTAAGGGACAATTTAGCGGAACGGATCACGCGGAAATAGCGTGGTTCCTGGTAGCGACGAACCGTACGGGGTCAACGAATATCTTGAGAACACAGTCTACCGAATTCTATTGGTGTATAGATTCGATGCGGGGTCGACGGCCATTTACGAGGCAGTGCCGCACAGGGTCTGTCGACCAAGCATTCGTTCATTCTCCTTGGAAGAGATGGCCAAAGATAGTATGGTGTGAAAAGATCGACAATGATGGGACTTCAGAATCCCGAAAACTACAGAGTTGTGGTTGTCAGGGGATGAAACTGTCATTGATTTCAAAAGAGTACGGAGAAAATGTCCCAAGAACCACTCCCGGTTCAAGAGACAGTCCCAGAAGCCTCTCTCATCGCCTTGCTGTTTACTCGAAACGCACAATAACCAAACAAAAAACGCTTATTAGAGAATATATACTCATTTGCAAACTAATTCGGCTGGCTT